CTGTTCCCCTTAATCTTTGCTTAACGAGAGGATCACCAATCCTTTCCTAAGATTTCCAGTTACTAAAACTTAGTTCATCATCTTGTATACTTGGCACGGATTTACTTCTGCAAATTAATTTGCCTTGAAAATGAATTATGGAATGTGATACTTTGAATCAAAACAGAAGATTTTAAAAAAATAAATACATAAATAATTTATTTTATTTTATTTTTATCTGATTGAGTACTCTCTTGGAAGTATTAAACTCATGTGGCAGTTTATTGTAAATTTTAAATAGCTCACATTCACTTATTATCTCACTATTTTACCATATGATTGATATGATAGGCCACTCGAGGCAGTAGTGCTGCAAAGTTGGGAATCTCCAAGGTATCAAAACAAGTTGCTTCAGCTTTCATGAAAAGAACTCTTGCTAGGTGTAGAAGATTTGAAGATACACAAAAGAGTTGCTTCAGTGAGCCTGCACTTCGAGACATTTTAACTCGACCTTCTAACCGAATTGATGCAGATGTTATGAATGGTAATGATTCAATTGTTTCCAGTTAGTTGATTCATAAAACAAAAGCGTAATATGTCATGTTTGCTATTTTGTTTGATGTATTCTTGAACTTAGATATACTATACTTTTCCTTAAAAAAAAAAAAAAACAGAAGAGACAAACCGAATGGTTATATTAAGGTGCTTGAGCTACAAGTAGGATTCATGAATTTGTTCGGGAGCCATTTAATGATTTTTCGTTGCTTCATGCAGACCTCTGCTGTAATGTCAAAAAAGTTAATCTTTTCATCTTGTATCCTTGGTTTTTAAGATATTATCTTACCATTGCAGGTTCCTTCCCTGGTGAAGCTTATCACAGTGGTCTGCAGAATCATAAAAGTGGAAGGGGATTACTTCATTCTTCCGACCAGGATTTCACCCGAACTGGGCCTATAGTGAATAGAGGGAAAAAGAAAGAAGTGCTACTTGATGATGTAGGAAGTGCTTGCATGAGGGTTTTATCAACCGTGGGTAACAATTCATTAGCTGGAGCTAAGGGGAAGAGAAGCGAGAGAGAAAGGGACAAAGATATGTCAGCTAGATTATGTGTTAACAAAGCTGGGCGTTCATCTGCTGGGGATTTTAGGACTGAGCGTAAAACAAAAACAAAGCCGAAGCCGAAGGCGGCTCAGCTATCTCCTGCTGGAAATAGATTTGTAGGCAAGTTGACGGACGGAACCTACTCTGACAACCCTGCAACTAGGATTTCCAATGAAGTTGCAAATGATAGCACAAAGAAGGAATTTACTGTGGTATTGCCCCTTAATAATGCTACTCAGGATTCATCAAAGGAAATTAGTGAATGTACAGATTTCACAAATCTTCAGCTACATGATTTAGATTCAATAGAATTAGGTGTGGCCAATGAACTTGGTGGGCCTCAGGATCTCGATTCTTGGTTGAACATTGACGAGGATGGATTACAAGATCATGATGCAGTGGGCCTTGAAATACCCATGGACGACCTCGCTGACTTGAATATGCTTTTATAGTGCTTGTATAGTGTACCTTTTTTCCCCCATTTACTGGGGTTTTAGAATTCTATACTTTAGTCGGGGGGGAAGTTCCATGTATAAGTTAAGCCTCTGACAGATTGGCTCTTGGTTTCATTGTCATCCAATTCTTTCACTTCTAGAGGGAGGGAGGGAGTGGGGGGTGGAGGGTGGAGGAGGTCATAATTGTTGATGTAACCAGATAACTTATTTCATATGCAATCAAAACAATTTTCTCGGAGGACTCTTGTCTATGATGTTCTTTTCTGCTCATTTCTTTTACATCTCATTATCATTTATTGTTCTCAGAAACTAATCTTTGGTCTCCTGTGGCATGTCTATACAGAATGAGGTCAGCGATGGCGTTTCAGCACTTACCCTGTTACTTATTATATATTAGCTAGTGATTGCTCTAACTTCGTTGGATTGTTAGCTCTGCATCACGTGTGATTCTTACATCCTCACTCTAAATATAATTTCCATTGCTACAATAGTGGGTTTCAGTCTAGCTATGTTATGTTGCCATTGAATTCAGGGAGCTCTTGGTAGTCAGAAAAATGATGACTACTGCATTACTGTCCTAATGTTGATTTTCTTTTGATATTTGAGTTAAATTGAAGGAACTTCAGGATGTCGGCTATTTTGATTGCCAGTTTATAGGAGAAGATGCTTGGCGTTTTGCTCAACTGCTTGTCATAGTGCAAAGTCTCTTCATACTTGTGGTAAGATGTGAATTGTTTTGTTGTTGCAATGCATTGTGTAGAAGTAGATGTACGATATGGTTCTTTTAACACTTGATTCATATCATTAATTACTTTTGTCTGCATTTTCCTTTATACCGAGTCCTGATTTTCTGTTAATATCCTTATTGTTTCTGAGGCAAGCATTCTCTCTTGCATGGATTGATGGAAAAAGCTCAAAACATCATCTCAGTCATAGCTGGAAGGACAAATGTTCAAGATCATGTGGTCCTACTCACTGTAATGATTTTCTATCCTGGTTCCGTTGTTCGTATGGCTTCATTTCATTTCTTCATTTTCTCATAAAAATGCTTCACCCCTAGGTCGACGATTAAATCGTTTGTTGGTTGCATCTGTCTTAGCTTCATTGTAAAGTCTTTTTTCTTTTAAAGATCCAGTTTTTAGTTGTCTTGTGGAGTACATGAGACTCGAGAAGTATGATCCCTGGTGAGTAGTTTCTCAACGTTCTGATTTCTTCATCCTTGATTGACTTTTAAGGTTAAGATATAGGGGTTTCTTCTTTCTTTGGTGCATTACGGCTAGGGCATGCAAGCCATTCTTAATAACAACTACATTCTGAATGAAAAGATGAACATAATAGTCTTTTGCATGATTTTGTCTTTCTCTTCCGTTCTTCTAAGTTCATGATGTGCCTTCAAATTTTGTGGTGCTGCTAGATCCATTTTGTTCTCTCATAATGATTTTTGTTTGGTGTTAGTCTGATGCTTGTTTTTGGAAGAACTGGTTCATAGACATGTCTATTTCATCGAGCCTTTTTTAGTGCCCAAATTGTGGAGGGTATAGTTCTTGTTGATGGGTCGTTTCTTTGGCTAGATCCATTTCGTTAACTGATATGTATAGATTGTTGAATAATTTGGAAACATGGGGTTACATTTGGACTGGTGCACCCTATTTGTTGTTTTCCTTTATTGCCTTGTTTTGTTCATCTGTTCTCTAGTTTAGGTGACTTTGTTTATATTTCATTTTCTGCTTTCTTTCCTATCTGGTAAATTTTATGGTGAACAGAACAACCTTATTTCAATTATCATTTAGCCTTATAATTCTTTGTTACAGTTTCACGATTTTTAAATTTTCCCGACGACTTTCGGTTACGTATTGCTTAGATTCAGTATGAACTTTTATTTATAATAGGTTCATTTAACTTCTGATCAATAATTTAATTTGCGATATTCGATTCGAAATGAGGCATGTGTCGAACAAATCATATTCTTGCTGTTTGCTGCATTTCTAACCTGCCGTATCTGTGCTACTAGCTATACAGGCATTCATTATCTCAATTTGATCCCACGTCGGTTGGGGATGAGAACGAAGCATTCTTTATAAGGGTGTGGAAACCTCTCCCTAGCAAATGCGTTTTAAAAACCTTGAGGGGAAGTTTGAAAGGGAAAGCCCAAAGAGGACAATATCTGCTAGCGGTGAGTTTGAGCTGTTACATTTTGTTCTTTGAAGGACAAAGCCTCACAGGGACGGAGTGGTCAAAGCTTTACAAAGTCAAGGTCCAGCAAGACGGAGATTCAGATCCCAGAAATCGTTGCCAGAGCATTTGGCAAGCGAGTGGTCCGTGGCCAATAGCGCCCTAGTTGATGGCATTCCTCTCCGCGGCTATCGTGGGAGAAACACTTGCTGATACGCAAATGGCCGAACAAAGAAACAATGAAGCTTCAGAAAACTATAAGCTTTATGATGCTATGAATAGGGTTGAAATTGACTTGTAAAAACAACAGAAGCAGCTGCAGCAGGAAATATTTGTTATTGGTGAGAGATGCCTTCCTATAATGGTTTGGTTTTATTTCACTACGTTAATGGTTAAGAGTCGAACTTCTAACCTCAAAAAATTGTAATAGCTATCATTAAGCTAAGCTATGTTTAGAACGATGATATTTTAGCTTATGGAATTTCCTATAGCATGACAATTCAAATATTTGTTAGAATTCTAAAGCGAAGGTGTAACAATCCAAATTCACTACTAGCAGATATTGTCTTGGGCTTTTCCTTATGAACTTCTCTTAAGGTTTTACGCGACCACTAAAAAGAAGTTTTCACATCCTCGTAACGAATTAATTTAAAATTAATTTTTTGAGTTCAACCCGTGAAGTAATTATTAAAGTGGGCCTTAATATTTTTTTGTCGGAGGTCAGCAGGTAAAGTACAAAGTAATGTAATTATTAAAGTGAGCATTAATATTTAATTGTCACGATTTAAGGTTACTTTTTTTAGTTAAAAGATTGTCGGACTATTTTAGAAGTAATTCACATTAAAAAGCTGATATAAATATTCAAGTTGAAATATTATTGTTTGATTATTATTATTTTAACTTTATAAAGGATTAAATTATTTCTAAAATATAATTTTTTATGAAACAAAACAAATTCTATCGGGGGTTCTTTTTTTTTAAAAAAAAATAAATAATTTAGCTATTACAATTATTAAAATGAGCATTAATATATTTTAGAAAATTACAGTTTTAAAAATTTTGAAGTGTCCTCTTTTATATTTTCAATTTTTTATTTAATAAATCTTCAATAAATTTAAATTTTTAAAAAATTAATTGATTTATCAAATTTGAAGAATTTATATTTAAATTTGAAAGTTTAAATAAAATATTAAATGTAAATAAAAATAGGTTACAACGAAATTCATTGGCTCATTTAGTTCGTTACGGCTGAAATTTCCCCCCTTTATAAATGTCTTGAAATTTACAAGAAATCAAGAAAAAAACTGTTCTTTTTCTCCAATTAGCTTTCTGGTCAGCGAGGATTGGAGGACAATTCTCGCTGAAGCTTCATCCAGTCCTCCTCGGTCTCCAAGATTCTTATGAAATCGCACTACACACTTCCAAGCTGTAAGAATCCTTTTGATTTCCCGTTCTGATCTTCATCTGAGTTTGAATTTTCCAGAATTTTAAGCCTCCGAGATGATGAAACCGGGATTATCATTATTGATAGGGTTGAAGGCAGCAGCTCTGTTCTCTCAATTCCTGTTCCTTAGATTCTATGGCTTCAGATTGTTATCGATTCCTTTCTTGTACGCTTCTTTAGTTTCTCTCTTGGTTTCAATCGCTTCTCTTCCTTCTATCAATCTTCCCCTGCTGTTGGGGAAGAAATCGGATGGGACTTTTCCTGTTTGGTCGATCGTGATTTTTGGTCCGTTTTTGTTTTTCGTTCGATTTCTTCCTTCGTTGCGTGGATTGTACCTTAGGGATGATCCTTACTCTGAAATTTGTGAGGGTGTTTATGTTGGGGGGTGGCCTTATTCACCTGATCGATTGCCTCCTTGTAACCCTGCCGTTGTTGATTGTACTTGTGAACTGCCGAGGTGTTTGGAAGTCTCTGGGACTGGTTACTTGTGTGTTCCAACTTGGGATACGCGGTCTCCTCAGCCTGAAGAAATTGAAAGGGCTGTTCGGTGGATTTGTAAGAAGAGAGAGCTGAAGAAGCCGGTGTTTATTCATTGTGCTTATGGTAAGTTCACTAGCCCTAATGATTTGATGAGGCATTATGATTTTCTAGTGCATTGAAGTGGATTAATTGACGTCTGTTGTTTATATAAGTTTAGTTTAAGAGTTAGAAGTTTTCCCTGGATCTGTATGGATGATTATGCTTCTATGATGATTTTTGTTTGGTGTTATTGTTTGATGCTTGTTTTTAGAAGAACTGGTTCATAGACGTGTATACTCCATTGACCCTCTTTCAGTGCCCAAATCGTTACGAACTGAATTCTTTCTAGTAGTAGAGGATGAGGGGAGTTGTACCACCATTTCCCGCTTGAATAAGGTTGTCTCCCATCCTCGGGCACTAGAATTCTTTCTAGTTGTAGAGGATGAGGGGAGTTGTACCACCATTTCCCGCTTGAATAAGGTTGTCTCCCATCCTCGGGCACTAAGGGGCCTTGTCTCTGACATTGTTCTTAAACGATGCTCCCTTCAGTACGAGCTTCAACTCGGAGGAATAGGAATGGAAGAACTTATTCCATGGATTACTACTCACTTGATTCCAAGTGCTTGAATGATAGTGCCTACGTTGTCTATTTAATGTCCTACAATCTTTTCAATGAGAACCCATAAAAGACTTGGCATAAAAAAGAACTAAAACACACAAATTTGGGAACCAAACTAAAGAAATAGACTCCAATCAAGTAAAATAAGATCTAAACGATAATCCTAGAAAACGCCATCGCTGAAATCCGAAGACAAACATAGAACCTTATGTATGATCAAACATCACTCGGGTTCATATCAACACCTCCTACAATCTTGGATTTCTCACATTTTTTCTGGGATTTGCACACTACTAGGTGCTTGGTTCATGGGCTAGGTTGTAATACTATGACGTTTTTACCTGTCATGTTTGCTATGTCCTCTTTGCAAGTTTCCACAGTCTTTATAGCCTTTGAACTCAAACTGGCAAATATTGTAGAATGCCTCTTTGCAATCTCATTAGCCATTGGAGATGCGTTCCTGATATGTTTGCACTGCTAGTGAATATTTGATATCATTGTCTGTGGAACAAGGATCCCATATATTACATTTTTCTAGTGACCAAATAGACCGAAGTAGGTAACGAAGTCGACGTCGTTCTTCGTTTTTTCCAGGCCATGGAAGAAGTGTTGCTGTTACATGTGCAGTGTTAGTGGCTCTAGGAGTGGCAGAAGATTGGAAAAATGCAGAGAAGATAATAAAAGAGAAACGATCTTGCATTCGGATGAATCCTTCTCATCGTAAAGCCTTGGAAGAATGGTCGAAACATCGGTTATCCGCTCCGAAGAAGAAGAAAGATATTGATGTGAGTTCTATGCTTGTTTCTGGTAGCTGAGGAGCAAAAAGATGAACCTCCCTTTGTAACCTTGTGCATCTTACTTATTGCTTGGATGACCATTTGATGTAATGGATGAAGTTTTAAGTACTGCTAATATTAATAGGTAAACAAACAAACTTTGTTGCAAGAACTTCTCATCTTTCTATTTTGGCTTAGTCCTTCAATTTTTGCCAGCAAGTTGTTAGTTCAACATTGAAGAGCAGGGCATACTCCATGGGCGGTTCACGAAATGAGATTCTGACCGAGAACAAAAGCTTGCATCTTCAAAGACCTGTTTATTTCATCGAGCTTCTTTCCGTGCTCAAATCGTTATAAACTGAATTCTTTCTAGTTATAGAGGATGATGTGAGTTTTCCATCCTTCCCAGCTTGAATAGGGTTGTCTCCCACTTCTATCCTCGGGCACTAAAGGCCCCTGTCTCTGACATTGTTCTCATACGATGCTTCCCTTCGATGCGTGATTGACATGTTGCTAGCTTCAACTCGGAGGAATAGAAATAGAATTAGATAGATGCTTGCATTGACGGTTCTTGCTCAGGTTTTAAGGAATCCCTCTTATGTTCCACCTATCCATTCACTTTCGAGGGAGTAGCTCATTGTGAAGGGTGCAAAATATGGAAGGGGCAACCTACCGATTATCTTATATATAGGTGAAGCAAGCTTGCCCGATCTTCCAAATGTGTCTTACATAGCTATGGATAGAGTTTGTAACGTGATTGATATGACAACAAAAGTCATTGAAAGGTTGGCCTTTTCCTTCCGTATGTCCTATATTAAAAAAAATAATTAAGAAAAGAATTGAATAACGTGATTCAACTCAATCCCACCAAAAATAGAAAGTTGAGTTAGGTTATGAACCCTATTTCTGGATCCAACTTCTTCTAATGGACTCTCTCATTTTTTCCGAATATAATTTTAAAAACTTTTATTTATAATTAATATATTATTAAAAAGAAAATCATAATAACGTTAAAATAGAACCGGCGTAGAGAATCAAGGCCTCACTTACCAACTCGAGGGTCCTTATTGGGAGTTTGCTCTTAAGAAAGGAAAGACGACGACTAACACACCGGTGCTCTGCATCTACCAGCGGTGTTAGGGCTCACTTTCCATTTCTCTTCACCGACACCTCCATTTCCACACTTCGCTGTAAGATCTCTCTCTTTCTTTCTTTCTTTGTTCTTATCATTCTCATCGTTGTTTTGCTTATATTCCGTTTTCATAATTATCTTCTCCTGTTCGTGCTTTTATCTGTCCTTTTCACTGTTTTGTTTGCGACCTAAGATTCTGTAAGTTCGTTTTTTTCGCCTTTCTTGTTACTCGCTGCTTATTTTGGTCACCGGTGGATGCTTTTTGCGGATTTGTGATGTGTTTGTGTCGGTCGAAGTGTGGATGATCAACTTTTTGGTATTATAGACGCTTGATTTCTGATGATTCTTAATCTTTGATTTTATTTTATTCTGTTTTTGCATTATAGAGTGTTAGAAGTCCACCGAGAAACGCTTGAGTTTTGTTTCTGTTCTTTTTTATTTTTTATTTTTTCGTTTTCGAATAGTTCAGGCTTTTTGTTGTTGCTACGAGATTCAAGAGGCTTTGCTCTCTTTTTTTTCTGGAACTTGATCTCTCTGATGTCACTTTATATCGTTGCGTTTGCTCGATAATATGTGTAGTTCTTTCGATTCCAAGTGAAGAGCTGTTAACGATTTTGTAAAAGAAGTTCTGTTTGCTATGTGGTACGGTGCCGAAAAATTTTAGGATCTGGACCCCTTTTTTTGCTTTCTTAGTCTCCAATCATGCACCAAAGGAACTTTTCTATTAGTCCTTATTGTGCTAGGAACTTGAGCCTGTTATGGATGTATTCTTTTTGTTGTCGTAATTCAGTCTTTGGTCAATGTTTTAAATTCTTTGATGCTTGTGTTTCATCTTGTCTTTTTTTTTTTTTTTTTCCCAATATTTTAGTATCGCGTTGTTATAAGGTATTTTAACCACAATTGTATTTGGCTTTACTTGTTGATCGGTTTAAAATTTGATTTTCGTTCAAGAATGAAATGTCATTAAGACTTTCCATGTCCAGTTAGTCATCTGGAACTATGAAATGTTATTGAAACTTTCCATGTCCAGTTAGTCATCTGGAACTATCTCACATCCTCGATTGATTTTTTTTTTTTTTTAAAACTACCACTCAATTTTTAAATTGCTGGAGCTTGTGTGGAATGAGCGTAGTTGATGGAATCTCCAGCATTTTGACGCTATTATGTGAAATATTATGAAGTTGTTTTGTAGTCAAGATCTTGTATGTTTCATTTTGCTGGTTTATCTTTTCATCTTCATTTTCTAATAATAAAGTGTATGATTTCAAGGGTAGAAGTAGCTAAGTTGCTGTGTACTTAATTATCTCTAATCTTCTATTGTGTCTGATCGATGATCGAGGTTTTTCTTTCCTCCTGTTTAAATTCCCTTATTTTATTTTCATGGCTTCAGCTTTCACTACTCGACTCCGATCATGTCGACAGTCAGACTCCCAACATCCTGCTTGATCAGAAATGCTACACCAAGGAAATCCTGTGCCCTAGTTCAGAGGCCATCTTCCTTGAGTTCCTTTAGGAGTGTATCCCGGGCATTTGGATTGAAGTCTTCCTCATTCAAAGTGTCAGCAATGGCTTCTTACAAAGTGAAGTTAATTGGACCAAATGGTGAAGAGAATGAATTCGAGGCCCCTGATGACACTTACATTCTCGACTCGGCTGAGAGTGCTGGATTGGATCTACCCTACTCTTGCAGGGCTGGGGCTTGCTCTACTTGTGCAGGTCAAGTAGTTTCCGGGACAGTTGACCAGACGGACGGATCGTTCTTGGACGACCAGCAGATGGAGAAGGGGTATGTCCTAACCTGCGTGGCATATCCACAATCCGACTGTGTCATTCACACACACAAGGAAGGTGATTTGTTCTGATTTCTTTGTTTGCATGCATTATATCAGTTCAATCTGATTGAAACTTCAATCACTCTCAGACTCTTTTGTGCTTAGTTTTTGAGGTTGATATGTCAATCACTAGAATTGTGTTCACTCTACTGCGAATTAGATGCTGCTTTAGCTAAAAAGGTGAAGCTTTGAACATTATTCATGAATAATAGATATTGGTGTCAAATTTTAGCAAGTAATTGAATGTGCAAATTTGGAGGAGTACCCACTGCCCATGGATTTGGAGTTTCCAGGTAGGTTTCCAAATCTCTTCTGCCATCCACTTCTTCTTTTGGTAAAGTTAACCTTTAGTAAAAGGAAAGTGTTGGCAAGAAATTATGAGGGGTAATGATGGGCGCAGCCCTCTTCTGACCATTGACAACTAAGCCCCTAAACTCTTATTTAATTCGTTGCTTGAATGTTTTCTTTTTCAGAAAGGATTTACTTTTCTTTTCTTTCTTTTTTTTTTTTTTTAATATTATTATTATTATTATTTTTCCTCCCAAATTGATTAAAGCTTATCAATGAAATAAATTTTCTAACCTTTTCTCTATAAATTTACTGTTTTATAAATTAAATTCATTTTTATTTGTGATTTTAGATAATTAAATTATGATTTGTAATATATTTTATGAATATATCATTAGATCAAAATTTTATGATATTAAATGATTATTAATATTGAAATCAACCTCTATTTTTGTAAATTTAATTTTTTTTTAAACAAACTTTAGAATCATTAATTAGGCTAACTAGTATTAGTGTTTAGATTTGAGGGTGTTAATTAAAATTTCAAGTTTTGTTCTAACTTGAAGCAATCCAAATGCAATTAAATATTAAAATGACCATATCTACAAAAACACTTTTCTCTTCCCATACTTGTTTTTGTTTCGAANTTTTTTTTTTTTTTTTTTTTTTTTTTTTTTTTTTTTTTTTTTTTTAATATTATTATTATTATTATTTTTCCTCCCAAATTGATTAAAGCTTATCAATGAAATAAATTTTCTAACCTTTTCTCTATAAATTTACTGTTTTATAAATTAAATTCATTTTTATTTGTGATTTTAGATAATTAAATTATGATTTGTAATATATTTTATGAATATATCATTAGATCAAAATTTTATGATATTAAATGATTATTAATATTGAAATCAACCTCTATTTTTGTAAATTTAATTTTTTTTTAAACAAACTTTAGAATCATTAATTAGGCTAACTAGTATTAGTGTTTAGATTTGAGGGTGTTAATTAAAATTTCAAGTTTTGTTCTAACTTGAAGCAATCCAAATGCAATTAAATATTAAAATGACCATATCTACAAAAACACTTTTCTCTTCCCATACTTGTTTTTGTTTCGAATACCATTATGATTAGAAATAAGCTAAAACAACTGATCTAATAACACGATTATAAGAACCAAGTGACTCAATGAGGATCCTGGATTCAAAGGCAGAATAACACTAAAACGAATTAAAACGTCACATTTCGAGATCATCTAGCCATTTTAACAAACCAAAATCTAATCTCTTCGCTGAACAAAATTTGGAATTGCAAAAATGCAAAGGCAGCTACACATCTATATACCCTTCCGGGCACGAGTGAGATCAATTATGTTTAGGTGTTGGTTGCTCTGGTGTATATCTCCTGACTAGAATGAGCCGAGATCATTCTGATGGAACCTCGAGCCATCAAATCCTTGATTGCTCTTCGGGCAAGTGAACCGTTGATCTGAATATGGCAGATGACATAAAGCATTATTTGAACCATAAAGTCAGTGCAAAAAATGCAGTTCTAGTTGACCAAGTAAAAAAAAAAAAAAATCTATGGATTGGTTTTCAAATTGGTTATCAGCACAAACCAAACCTCGTGAATTGAGTTGGGTTGCTCGAGTTGATCGGTTATGTTGATACAGGTTAGGATCAGTTGACCGACATATTGCAGTTTAACAACAAACAAATTGAAGTATAAGTGCATAGCCATGGATGGATGAAATGAAGAAAAGACGTACCCTCATCCTATCAGAAAGGATTGAAGGAGTGATTAGCTTGTACTTGGGAACTTCAGAAAGAAGCTTATCATAGGTTCCCTGATCAAACAAAACCATGTTGTTCACCTTCTCCTTTTGCTTGCCCTTGCTCCATTTCTGCAAATCAAGTGATGAGTGATTAACAGTTCCCAGACAAACATTTCATGCATGAACACCAGCAATTTTAAATCATCTCATTGTACTTTTTTAGGACATTGAGTCTTAACATTACTTAATGACTAATATCATCCTTCTTCATAATCGAATATACAAGCTATTTTCTAATGATCCAATAATCTAAGCAATGCAGTAAGACAGAGGAAATTAAAAAAGGAATAAGTTTCGTTTCATGATATTCTTGAGTAATTTCGAGACAAGCACTAAGCAATCATCGCCATAATCCGAAATCTAAAAAAATAAATTCATCAATAAACCGCTAGACGAACAGTATTCCAAACTAAATTAATTAAATTTGTTTTTTTCTTTTTAGGAAAATGAGAGCATTAACTCTAAGAAGCATACCTTCTTCTTCTGCTTTCCTCCACCAGATTTAGCGGGCTTGGAGGACGGCGGGGGAGCCTTATCCTTCTTAGGCGCCTACAATTCAAACAAGAACAAACACCAAAATAAGTTGAAGAAGTACATTGGAATTCAAAGAAACAAAATCAAAGTCGTACGTATGATAGCGAATGACTTGAACACAGACGAATGCACCGAAAAGTATATAGTGACTCACCATGAGAACTGATTTCTAGGGCTTTCAGCGAAGGAGTTACAGAGGTTTCGGCGGGAGGGAAGAAGAACATTGACTGGAGAGGAAAGCTTATATAGGACCAACGAAATTTTCTAGGGCTTCAAATAGACTCTGTAATTGGATACGCTGTATGGGCTTATATTTTGGGCCCAAATAGAATTGGCCCATATGTTTAATGGGCCTGGAAATGGACTGATAAGGCCCAGGACATTGGCTTACGATCTGGCCCAAGGCCCAAGAATAGCGGTCCTTTTTTTTATTATTATTATTATTTATTTATATTAAAACAATACCTCTAAATGAATCAAATTAGATAGTTCATTTACTTATTAAATTAGTAAAATTAAAGTCTAAAATTACTGGAGAATTTAAAAAAAAAAATCCTACTAATGTATTTTGTTTCAAATTTAGTTAATTTTTAGATAATTAAAATAGTCAATTTAAAAATAACAAAAATAGAATAAACAATTTTAACTTTAAAATTTAGTTCTATTTGAACAATTAAAAAAAAGTAATTTAACTTTAACTATATTAAAATTACAACAATGAAAATTTTAAAATCATTTAAAATCTAACCATAAATTAAATACCATAAAAAACTTCGAACAATGTCTTCATAAACTCGAACAAACTTCAACTGGCCTAGATTTTCTAAACGTTCCCTCCAAACTCGAACTTCTTAAATGTAAGAGTCTAATCCCACCGCTAGCAGATATTGTCTTCTTTGATATTTTCCTTCTGAACTTTCCCTACAAAGAATGTTTTAAAATGTATCGGTTAAAGAGAAGTTTCCACACTCTTACAAAGAATGTTTCGTTCCCCTCTCCGACCGATGTAAGATCCCCACACTAAAATTCTAACTTAACCTCGGGTTCAACGACGTCAAACATCTACATAGTAAGTAAATATGTAAACAAAAAGACATCAATGGTCTAAATATGAGTCTCAAGGTCTACAATCACAAGCATTACTTATCTTCTTTTCTTTCTTCATTTGTGTGGCACACACTTCTATGAGGGCCAATCACTATGCTAAAAAATATGCAATAAATGACTATACTTCCATCTCCAACAAACTAAAACAAGATGTCAAACGAAGAACACACCCATTATGACATGTTGACAAAAGGATGTTGCCAATCCAATCTAGGAGAAAAAAAAAAAAAAAAAACTATACATATTTTTGATCTTACTCAACATTCATCAGGAGCATAGTGCCCAAGCTTGTTCGGATTTTGTCGCTACTGCTCGTAATCAAATCCAAATACTGCAGAGCTTCCAGAGGGAGAAGACCTTCAAGAAAGAAATTTAGTAAATGTGAATGTGTTTGTTTCATCACATCCAAGAGCTGCTCTAATGTTTTGTCCTGCTGTTCTTTGTTCAGCTCTACGGCCTCAAACCAAGGCAGCAGATTTTTCTCTTCTTCCATGAAGTGATGTTTACAGTGTTCCTGCCCCAAAAAAGTAAAGAGATAGGGCAAAAAGAAAAAAGAAAGGTAAGGAAAGAGAAATCAGCTTCCCCATTATTGCCATTGATGAACAGACAATCTTAGAGTGCAATAAAGAAAATGACTGTGAAGTGTGAAATACATATAAATGATGATGATGATCATAGTCAAGCGATCTATTGAACGTAAAAAACTTGTCACTTTATTTTTGATTCTAAAAGTAAAGTGGATTCCACGTTATATTTTACTATAGACTAACAAAATGGATCTAAAGGTCTACATATATTCAATATTGGGTAATGATGAGATACAAAGGTAGTTGAACATATCAATCAATGAAGTGGAAGTGGCTTGGCTATTGCAGTCCACTAAATCTTCACTATGTTCAAGAGCCTAGGGATATTTCATAAAGATTTCATTTTCGATTTTCGTTTTTTGTTTTGTTATCTATTTTCAACAAATATTTTCAAATCTAAAGTCTAAGTAGTTCTTATATTTTGAATTTGACTAAGAAAACATGTTTTCTTAAGAAAGATGAAAATCGAAATGGTGAAAAAACAAAGCATAGTTTCAAAAAAATCAGATGATTATCAAATGGGCCGGTAAATTTATTACATTCCCGACAATGTTAAGAGTAATGTAGCTCAGTTATCCTGAATTTAAGAACTTCAGCAAAGGGTTATAGTATTGCTAACAGCTAGTCTCATAGTGTGGTCAAGGTGACGTGGTACAGAGCTATCCTCAATGCTCTGCAGTTCACATGGTTTAGTTGCTTATCTTTATTTCCTACTGTGCCACCCTATCAGCTTGAAATAAAGTCGTAATGAGGGTGCTATGTTTCAGCCTAACTCGGTAGGGTCGATCCAAATGTCAGTAGAGTAAATAAATGCTTTTGACAACGAAATAAATAGAGGGAAGAAATTTGAATCTCAGCCAACCACCCTAACCCGACTAGTATTTGTCAGTTGAGTCATAGAAACAGGAAGGAACCACTCAATCCTTTTTTCTGGAATGGTTCGTTCAGAGCTTGATCACATCACTTTGAAATTAGTGATACTTCTTTTAGCTCTTGAAATGTTAGATCAGACATTTAGTCTCCTAAAAAAAAATTACTTTTGATGACAATTTATTTATAACGGTTTCAGTCCACCGCTAGCAGTCTTCTTTAGGCTTTTCTTTTCGGACTCCCCTCAAGGTTTTTAAAAGGCATGTGCTAGAGAAAGGTTTCTACACCCTTATAAAGAATATTTCGTTCTCCTTCTCAATCAATATGGGATCTCACAATCCCCCATCTTCGGGACCCAGCATCCTCACTGACACTCATTTCTCTCTCCAATTAATGTGAGATCTCACAGTCCACCCCCTTAGGAGCCCAGAGTCCTTGTGGGCACACCGCCTTGTGTCCACCCTCTTTCGGGACCGAACTTCCTCGCTGGCACATCGCCCGATGTCTAGCTATATCACTCAATCCATTATCTTTCTTTCCTCTGATTTTGCTCTATGGTCTATATATTTTTCTTTAAATCCTAAGCATGAGGTCTTACAAACTGATCTGCATCAGAATTTTAATCCCCGTGGACTTATGAACAGGTTAGGATTATAGAAGGTTTGAGTGGAGTTACCTGCAATAACTTGAGCCGTTTGGAAAGGTTGGAAAGCGCTTCTTGACAAACTGAACTTCCCACGTCTAAAACGACAGTGGACTTAATGTCTTCTTTGATGCCATTCATGATGGGTAGATCCCTTGCATGCTCTTCGTTTGAAGCTTTGCATAATCCTGCATTATTGGATGCAGTAACAAGTTCATTCCTCTACTCACAGATGTAACATTGAAAAAACAAAAATGTAACTCTTTCAATCAATTTGGGCTCTGTTTGAATAAATTTCAAATTCCCACCGAAAAAAAAATTATGAGAATATTTGTTTAGAATAGACCAAATTTGTCAATATGTTCGTTCATTAGTTAAGGCATCTTTGAAAGATTTGAATTTTGAAATTGTGTTCTTCACCCTAATTTCAATCTCTCTCTCTCTCCATATATATATATATATATATATATATNTCTCTCTCTCTCTCTATATATATATATATATATATATATATATATATATATATATATATATTCTTTTAAGATGAGGTGAAGTTTTTCTGAAAGATAATAAGACCATCTAAAAGACTATTTGAAAGAAACTCACTATTCCGTTTAAAGCATCTTCCTTATCTATTCTATTTTTTTTTAATTTTAAAATATATTATTTTAATTGCTAAAATTTCTATTTAGATATTTTAGTCTTTGCCATAATTAAAAAAAAACACAAAGAAATAAAAAAAAAAAATCTTGCTAACTAAATTATAGAAAATTAACAATAAATTTTCAAATATATAATTCTATATAGTTTATGGACTAAAACAATACTAAAATATACATTTGAAAAGTTGAAAGCTAAAACCAAATAAATGTAAAAATTAATGGAATAAAAGAAAGTTTAAACTTTATAATACCCAAAATCCATAAAAGCTTTGTTTTTTTTTTTTTTTTTGGAGTACAGGTTGTCTTGTAGTTGCTTTCCCTAGTTGAGTAGTTTCCTCTCATGTGGATTGTTTTTTTTTTTTTAAATAACAGAAACAGTTTTTCCTTTAAACATGTGAACAGTTGCACAATTCCATAGATGATAGGATCAGTCTTCAAAAAAAGTTCCATAGAACTAGGTAAAAGATGCCAAACAACCTCTTTATTTCCCCCAAATTGTAAAGATAAGAGAACAATCAAGAAAGTTATGAAGTTCATCACCAAATTCTCACTGATCATCTCAAATTTCTTGCCCAGTTTGACAAATCTAAAACAGACTTTTCTATGATCAACAACGTTTTTGCAATTACATTAATTCTGTTGCAAATTATCAATGATTTTCTTTCATGATGCAACAATTTTTAGAGCTTGCATTGCATAAACTCAAATTCTAATCGATGCAATGTAAAGCAGAATAAGAGTCATGGGGCTTACCTCGATCGGCCATTTCCAAGATCGGGAAGAGGACTCTCTCCTCCATTTGAGCGTGCTCCAGCATCACTTCCAGCAGCTGAGAGTAGCTCTTCCCGAATTTCCTTAGCTCCATCCTCGGTGTTCCCATCGTCGGATCAACGGCCGTTCTCCCTCCACGCGCCGCCAGATCCTTCGCCCATCTCAACATCCTCTCCAAATGCCACAACACGCTCTTATGCTGCAGCGACACCACAGTCAACGCAACCAACTGCGTCGTTTCGTCATCGTCGACGCGGCGGCTCGATATTGCCAGCGGCGGGTGAGGAAACTTATTGTCTATGTACCGAAGCAACCTATCGCGTGAACCGGAAACGGTCTCGGTCCCGATCCGGATAGCCGGCGAATCAGAGCCGAAATGCGTCGTCTCAGAAGGTATAAAACTGTGTTTCACAGACTTGTAAAGCAAAGCAAATCGGATGTAGCAGGTAAGAGCATTATTCGGAGGGCCATAAAGCCGTACGACCGGATTCGAAGCCGTGGAATCGCTACAGCCTCTAATGAACTCCTGAGGCACAATCTCCGCCGTCGATTTCGTCTTACTCCCAAGGCAATTATTCCCCATTGCAAAACACCGTCACAAATCCTAGTTCCGAAAAAT